GGGGGAGGATGGCCACACCACAATCCCTTCTCCCCCATTCTTCTCTCAGGATGTTGGACACACACACACACACTCATGCCCAGCAGGAGTTTCAAGCACCCAGGTTTGGGTCCAGGACTTGAGCTGCAGTTGGCCATGTGGGAGTCCAACGCCTTAACCTGCTGGCCCCACTAACTTTTCCTTTAGCAGAGAGGACAAGAGGAAAAGTGTAATATGAATAATAGCAATACTCTTACTGAGCAACTCTAGAGTGTCCAGTGCAGCACTGAGCATTGTCCATACATGATTTGTTGCTTAGCTAAGACAGACATGACTACCCAATTTACAGACAATAAAACAGATGTGCAGGAAGAGGAAATCAATTGCTTGAAGCCTCAGAGCTAGAAAGTGAGAGAAGAGATTTCAAATCAGACGTGTTCACTGCCCTGGGCCTCTCATGTCGTCCCTCTTCCCTAGGCTGAATATTCTAAATTAAGAGAAAGCACTGTAGTTCGGAAGCCTTTCCTCCACTTCCCCTGAAAGTCCAGTTAGAGAGTACTGTGTGTCACAAGTGGAAGCGCTGGCTAACGCCAGAGGACGGTTATTAGGTGAGGGCAGCCTGACAGGCTATGCCAGCCCCCACCTGCTTGCTTTGTCCTGCCTGGAGAAGCAAGTCCCAGGAGCAGCCTGAAGAGCCCGGAGTTTCTGGTAGTTCCAGTCTTACTTATTGTTTTGTCTTTTTAATTTTTTGCTATAGGACACGTGTGCTAGGCAGAGAGAGACAGAGAGAGGGGGAGAGAGAAAGAAAGAAAGAAAGAGAGAGAAAAATCATGCCCCTGGGGAATGACTACGCCACAATCCCTTCTCCTCCATTCTCCTCTTGGGATTTGGGGCACACACACGAGCCCCATGTTGACCTTCAAGCCACTGGGTCCAGGATTCGAATTACACAGCCAGCCATGTGGGATCCAGCACCTCAACCTCCATGCCACCTGCTGGCCCCTGGAGTTTCACCTCTAACCAGTCACGCATTAGTCACAGAAACCTCTACCTGATTAGAAATTCCTAAGTGGCTTTCCTTAGGGTTCTCATCTGCCTAACTAGATGTTTCAAGTTTGACCCCAGAGCTCCTGGACCAGGTAGGACCCCACCTGAGAGTAACCGCCTGTATGAGAGGAAAACAATGTCTTGGCAGTTACTGACGAACAGTCATCCTAAGTAAGCAAATCCGTGAGACTTCAGCTCCACTTCCTGCTCCCTCTGCCGTTTATCTTATTATCTGTGACTTCCCTCTGCTTGTGTTAAAGTGGAAACAGCAAGAGCAGATGCAAGAAAGACAGACTTCCTGACCGTGGCTGCCGAAGCACTCGGACACACGCAAGGGCGACGCGAAGTATCCCAAGTCCCTCAGGCCACTTAGAATTGCTGTTCCCTCTTATAACTATAGAAAATAAGCATTTCGTTTTTCTAATCTTTTTATGGAAGTACTTTCTGGTCCAGTTGCAGTGGCACAGGCAGTAGGGCCTTACTGCACATGGTTGGAGCTGCATGGGAGGCCCAAGGTCTGAGGCTGGGTGGACCCGAACATGCCGAGCAATGCCATGCACCTGTGATCCTAGCTGGCGGGGAGGCTGGGGCAGGATCAGTGTGCTGGGACCCTGTCAAGGGTGCTTGTGTCGTGTCTCCTCACCTTCCTTCACAAAATAAATTCATAAAGAAACTTAAAAAAAAAAAAAAAAAAAACAACTTTCTTCCTGAGGTTGCTTAAACAAATAAAAGGGGTAGACACAAAGTTTCAGGGGTTTTCTTACCCAGCCTTTTGGAAGAGAAATCAGAAACCAATTCATTTTCCCAAAAGGAGGATTTAATCTGTTCTAAACTATAAAACTAATAAAAATCTTTTCCCAGGACCATTTTACTCAGAGGTCAGAGACCAGAACAAATGAGGGAAGGGTAAAAATCACAGAGCGTAATTCAAGAAAATATATGACATGTAACCAGAAGAACAGAGATCCTGTCCTTCACAAAACCCACATACTTTTATTACGACAGAGAGAAATGCTAGTGGGAAACAGTGAGATGAATCTGACATGCAGGAAAATAATTCTATTTTCAAGCTGCCTAAAAAAATTGATTCTTAAAAATGTATCCTATTGGGCCAGCATGTAGCATGGAGGTTAAGGTGCTGGATTCCACATGGCCAACTGCATGGTTCAAGTCCCAGATGAGCTAGCTTGAAAATCATGCCAGGCACATGTGCACGCGTGCCCAAAATTCTGAGAGAAGAATGGAGGAAAAGGGATTACAGAATGGCCATTCCCGAGGGGTGATTTCTATTTCTCTCTCTCTCTCTCTCTCTCTCTCTCTCTTTCACTGTCACATGCATGTACACTCTGGACACTCTGGCATAGGGAAGGAAGGAAGGGAGGGAGGGAGGGAGGGAAGGAGGAAGGGAGGGAGGGAGTGAGGAAAAGGAAGACAGAAAGGAAGGGAAGAGAGACAGAAAGAGAGAGAGAGAAAGAGAAAGGTAGAGAAGAAGGAAGGAAAAGAGGAAGGAAGAAAATATAGTCTGAGCGCGGAGCAGGTGTGGGCCCTCAGAGGGAGTCGGGGAGAATGGAGGGTGGGCACCAAAGCTTAGGACACACCTATCACACAATCTATCCCCGAGGTGGGTTCCCAAGTGGGCATCGTATGACACATCCTGACCATGCCACTCTCCATTCAGAGCTCCACTGCTGCCGAAGGGGGTGAGGGCCGGCCCGTAACCTGGCCCTAACTGACCTGCTCAGCAGGCTCCTCCTCTCACCCCCTTGATGATCGCAGGATCACATGACACATGTCGATCTTTACCTCCAAAATACACTGACATACCAGAATCTGGTTCTCTGTCTGCATCTGCTTAGCCTGTGAAGCCCACAGCTTCATCCTCACCCCCTCAAGCACTGACTTTTCTCTGGACAATGCCAGTTTCAGCCAAATTCATTGAAGTAGGATTCAGATTTGGAAAAACTAAAACAGTTTTAAACAGAATCACAATCTGAGGGGTTTAGACAGACCCAAAAGTAGATACATCATTAATCTTTATATTGCTTTCAAAAGTAAAGGGAGAACCAGCAGTTAGCATAATAGCTATGTCGCTAGACTCGCATGTAGTCGACTGCAGTTCGCGTCCTGGAACCAGTGGCTTAAAGCTCACGCTGGGTGCATGTGTGTGTGCGTGCCCAAGATCCTGAGAGGAGAATGGAGGAGAAGGGATTGCGGCATGGCCATCCCCCTAGGGGGTGATTTCTGTCTATCTGTCTTTCTGTCTCTGTCTGTCTGGCAAGCACATGCACCCTATAGCAAAAACCTCTTAAAAAAAATAAATAAATAAATAAAGGGAAGGGCTGGCCCCATAGCACAGTGGTTAAGCACCCGCATAGGAAGTCAGATCCCACATATCTGACTATAGTTCAAGTCTAGCCCTAGTGGCTTGAAAAACACACAAGGCATGTGTGTGTATGTGTGCCCCAAATCCTGATGGGATAGGGGGAGGGAGGGAAAAGGACTGTAGCATGAGAATGCCTTCTGCGGTAAGGGGTGCTTTTTTTTCTCTTTCTGGTAAGAACACATGCTTTCTGGCAATGAAAAAAAAAAAGTAAGAGGGAAAGGATAGAGAGGGTCATCCAGATTATTTTGTTACGCTGGTTGCATAAAAAGACATTCAGAATGAAAAAAAAAAAAGGCTTGCAATTATATGCATGTTAGAACTTTTAGTATATAAGCTTCCAAAGTAAAACTCTATATATTTCCCAGGACCAGCTGATGGCATAATGATTATAAAGCTGAACTCCCAAGTAGTCGACCGCAGTTCAAGTCCTGGGTCTGGCAGTCTAAAACTCACACTGGGTCCATGGGCTTGTATGCCCAAGATCCGAGGAGGAGAATGGAGAAGGGACTGTGGCATGGCCATCCCCGCAGGGGGGGTGGGGTGGAAGGAGATTCCTCACTTTCTTTCTGCCTCTGTTTGTCCAGCGAGCACACGTGCCACATAGCAAAAAAACTCTCAAAAAAACCCTATATATTTCCCAGTTTGCTGGAAATGTTAAGTCTCAGCTTTACATGGTACATGGTACTTAGTATACATATTTCTTTAGATTTCTGGGCCACTTACAAATCTCCAAATAATTTCTATGTAGCTTATACCCTGTGAAAAATGTAGGCTTTGAGAAATATGATTTTTAAAAGAGTAAAAAAAAAAAAAAAAAAAAAAAAAAAGCAGCAGAGTCAATTCCTGGATAAATAAGGATTATTTTATCCAGCTTAGGTATGAAAAAATGTAAAAGTCTTGATAATTTGGGATCACCCTGGGTGCCCACAAGGCTCTCCATTTGGGAAGGGGCTGGAGTTTCATCTCCCTCTCCAACTGTAAAAGCAGTAGATCTCACTGACATTAACTAAGTTTTTAAAATTCTCTGAGGGGGATGATGAAGCTAAAATAGCGACACAGAGTCCTAGCTACTTAAGCAATAAGAGTCCTGGAAGTTCTTAGAAAAGGCAGAGAAAAGAAAAGAGAGCCCATTTTTGCCCCCAGGGAAATTACGAACATTGTGCCAGCAGCCAACTCTAATAAATAAAAAGCCAGACACTTGAGAGCTCTGCACAGGGCCCACAGTATTTATTTTGGTAGGATGACCCTGGATGTGTAGGCTTAAAGAAACATGTGCTGTTGATCGAGAGGATGGTCCCAGCATTTATTTCAACACCACCTTAAAATAACTTCAACCAAAAATACTATTTTCAACAAGCACAAATAAAGAGAAAAAGAAGAAGAAAGATGTTGTACAAAATAAATTAAGAACAGATGCTGGGTCCACTGTAACTCAGCTGTGGTGGCATAGTGGTAACACAAAGCTCTTCAGTACTGGAAGCCATGTGAAAGATTGAGGTTTGGTTCCTGGGTCGACTTGTACAGGGCATGTGTGTGCATGCCCAGGTCCTGGCTGGCTGGGAAGAGCTGAGGGGAATCATGGCATGAGACCCTCTGAGAGTCTTGTCTTGTCTTTTTTTCTCTCTTGCACCTATGGCAAAAAAAAAAAAAAAAGTCAAATTAAAAAAGTATGAAGTGACCTAAAGAATGACAGCAACCTATGAAAGATAAACAGTAAAGTCATTTAAGAAAATAAAATGATATTGGGAAAATAAGACCTTGCTTTAAGCACTATAGAAAGTTAAAAGTTTACTGGTTTATGATAATCATCCTCTTAAAATATTCCAAAGCTTCTAAAATGCTTATAAATTTGATATATTTTTGACAGAGGCATTGGTAGCAAAGAACTAAGCTGTCTACTTATATAGCTCTCTGGGAACCCTGGGAAACATTTCTCCAAGGGCAGGTTGTGCCACATGGAGTTACTGCTTGTCCAGAGAGGCGACAGCCTGGGCTCAGGCAGGACCAAGTCCCATGCTCCCTCCAACCCCAACTCTTGGCAAGAACCAGTGCCAGAGGACCTGGGTGCTGTCCACTCGCCCTGGCCTGGCCCAGCTCATTTACACATTCCCAGGCCTCACTTCTGGGCTCTAGAGCCCCCAAGGACAGACTGCATAATCAGCACCATATTTTTCTCTTTCTCCTCATACAGCACAACCCTCAAGAGCCCATCAGTCCCATTCTGGGAAATCAGTGTAAAGCTGCATATGCAAAAGTTTGGAGGCCCCCTCTGAGGCCCAAATGTGAAAAGCTACTCTACAGCCTGAGACAGTGAATCTGGGGCCACGAAGCAGAGGGAGGAAGCCCCTCTTCCAGCAGAGCATGATCCTCCAGCTTAATACCCCAGACCCACCTCCTCAATAATGCCTTTGCTCTAACAGTCCAGCCCACGTGATCATGCCCTATTCTTTAAACTGCTGTCACTTCTGAGCACGACTCCTTATTTCCTACTACCTTACACTGCCTTGTCACATGCTATTTTTATTGCATCGCTCTAATTGCTATCGAGCAATGTGGTCTCAAGAAAAGCATTAGTTATTTTATTTCCAATACTCCCTGCAGCACCATGAACAATGCTAGGCACACACTCACACTGGACTTGGGAGAAGGGAGAAAAGGCACACACAGACTTTGCCTAATTGGCTTCCTGAAAGAGTAGACCATCAGGAGATTGCACATCATAGCAGCCCTCCACTGGAGGGCCCTTAAAGTCCACAGTCAGGGCCAGCAGGTGGGGTGGTGGTTAAGGTGGCTGGATTCCCACATGGCTCATGTGGTTTGAGTCCCAGACCCGGTGGCTTGAAAATCACACTGGGCATATGTGTGTACATGCCCAAAATTCTGAGAGGAGAATGGAAGAGAAGAGATTCTAGCGTGGCCATCCCCCCAGGGGGTAATGTCTCATTTTCCCTCCCTCTGTCTTTCTCCTCTCCGGTGAGCACATGTGCCTTATGGCAAAAACTTAAAAAAAAAAAAGCTAAATCCACAGATTGTGTTGTTATTTTTCATCTTTGTATCCTAATGCCTAGAATCTGTGCTAAAATATTTGTCCAATCAATGAAAAGTAACAATATTACGGTGAAAACAAAGCATATGGGGACTTCTAAGAAGAACCAAGTCGTATTAATCATTAGTATTGAATCTGAATTTGCAGCAAGAAGGTAAGAAATATTCTATTGTGAAAGATGTTGCAAGTACAGGAAACAGAGAACAGAGACAAAAATGATAAACTAGAACTTCATCTGCAAAATCAAACACTCCGGCCACAGGAGAATAACCGAGAGAATGCCGGAGAAGGCTGTGGAAAGACACTGAGGCATGGACATGGAGTCACATTAAGCCATTTCCTGCATTCATTCATTCCACAAACATTCATTGTACTCCACGCTGCAACACGCACAGTGTTCTAGGTGCTAGGGGTAGACAAGATAAAGACACAGCTTACACGGAGCTTGCGTTCTGTTTGTGGATGGTGGGCAGGAAAATAGATAATAAACAAAGAAGCTAGTAAGAAAAAAAAAACTGCATGTCAGAAGATGATAGAAAATTAAGGCAGGACAAGCAGTTGGGTGAAGAGGGGCATCAGAGTGCCCAGGGAAATCTCCTCTAATAAAATGATTAGGCATTTCAATAAGTAAGACAGCCCACCAGGAGGAAAGCATTCCCGGCGCAGCGAACAACTGCAAAGGCTCTGAGCAAGAACAGTCTGATCCAGTCAAGGGTCTACAGGAGGCAGGAGTGTCTGGGCCAGAGTCTGACGGGAGGAGAGCAGGGAGAGCTGCCACGGGGGACCAGCGTGAATTCTTAGGGCCTGACAGAACGTTAACACGACTTTGGCTCCACTCTGAGTGGGGTGGGAAGTGGCTGAAAGGTTCATGGGACAAAGGTGGCAGAATCCAGGAAGATTTCCTGAGGTTTGGTTTATAGTGATTACACATACATCGTTTCAAAGAACTGCAATAGTATATATTATTGTGTATTTCCCATGAAAAGGCTCCTGCTGTCATGCTCACCATCTGCAGGGCCTAAAACAGCCCCTGGCCTGCAGGAAGTTCTCAAGGAAGATCTACTGAAGGTGTAAGTGAGTGAATAAATGCAAGAGTAGTGCTGACTCTATGCCGGTAGCTCAGAGGGCTGAACCCGTCTTTGCAGCCACCACGACTCAGTCTGGCTCAACAGTTCACTGCATCGTGCGCGTTCAGAATAACTTGTGCTCTGCTATGTGCCTTAAGGAATAAAACCTTCTTTCATAGCTTGGCAATAAATGTATTTCTCTGGGAATCTGTGATAAGCAGGGTTTTACTAAATGAAAAAGAGGAGAAAAGTAAACACACAATTTTTATAAAGTTGTCATAGCCTGCCACAAAACTTTAAGTAGGGGCTATTTTTAAACTATTCTAAATGGCTGTGGGAGGAAGGGTTGGGTTTATGTTCTGGGAAGTACATTTACTCCCAGAGGCTTCAACTAGCTGTCCATCAGGGGAAAGGGCAGTAGAAAAAATAGTTTGGACAGTTTCTGGCCTAAGAAATATGGTACAAAATGCGCTCCTTGGACTCCCTGCAAGTGCAATGTCAGAATACAAAACTGAACCATCACATGGACCAAGTCACGAAAGCCTGGGTGTTTCAACAAGAGGTTTAATTTCATGCATATTTCACAGCTTGTCCTGTCCAGAATACAAAAACCAATAAAAGTAGGCTTTAAATAAAGATGAAAAAACATATGCACTTCTCTTCTGTGACAACAAATATTTCAGACACCGTTTTGCCTGTAGAAATATGACAACAAAAGTGATAACCAAACCTCAATCAGGGAATTATATAAATTTGACGAGGAAATGTTGAAACTTACTAATAAATAAACAATGGTTACAGCAGACACACACAAAAGCTTATGGTTTCATGTCTTTTCTTTCTTTGCCAGAGGACACACATGCTTGCCAGAGACTCAGGGCAGAGAGAGAGCAACCCCCCTTCCCCAACAGGGCATGGTCCCACTGGAATCCCTTCTCCATCTTGTGGGATTTGGGGCACACATGCACACATGTCTAGCACGTTGCTCAAGCTGCCAGGCTGAGATTCAAACTGCACAGCTGGCCCCGTAGGCTCCGCCTCCCCTAACCATTATGCCACAAGGCTAGCCCCTTTTTCATTCTTTTATCACTCCTCACAGCATTCAAAGTTTCAAGATATTTAATACCCTAACTGCATGCTTTTATAAACTTAAATGGTGGCACAGATGTTACTGTATTACTTTCTTCTACTACAAAGTTAAAGTGTGTTTCCCAGCTTCTTTTCCATCCTATTGTCCCCCAAAAAAACTCTCCCTCAGGAATCTGGGATGACATCACTGAAGCTTTGTTACACAGGCCACCACGGAGGCTTCGTGAGCAAAACTTAATACCATTCCTAAAGTCCAAGTGTTGGATGAGATGTATGTTTTTAGTAAAAAAATAGAATAAGCTCTCCAGCATGGGTACGAACTAGAGCTGGATTACATGAAAGCAATCTTTGTAGAGTGCCTCCAAATTAAAAATACTTGACCTGTTGTAGAGCAGGAAGGTGGGTATGTCCAATTATATGTTTGAATTAAGAAAATGATTATGGGCTGGTCCAATGGCCAAGCAGTTAGAAGAGTCAGAGCCCACATGGCCAACTGTGCATTCAAATCCCAGACCCAGTGGCTTGAAAAATACACTAGGGTGCATGTGCATGCATGACCAAAATCTCAACAGAAAGAAGAAATGGATGAGGAAGGATGGAGGAAGCCCCTCTTCCAGCAGAGCATGATCCTCCAGCTTAATACCCCAGACCCACCTCCTCAATAATGCCTTTGCTCTAACAGTCCGGTCCACGTGATCATGCCCTATTCTTTAAACTGCTGTCACTTCTGAGCACGACTCCTTATTTCCTACTACCTTACACTGCCTTGTCACATGCTATTTTTATTGCATCGCTCTAATTGCTATCGAGCAATGTGGTCTCAAGAAAAGCATTAGTTATTTTATTTCCAATACTCCCTGCAGCACCATGAACAATGCTAGGCACACACTCACACTGGACTTGGGAGAAGGGAGAAAAGGCACACACAGACTTTGCCTAATTGGCTTCCTGAAAGAGTAGACCATCAGGAGATTGCACATCATAGCAGCCCTCCACTGGAGGGCCCTTAAAGTCCACAGTCAGGGCCAGCAGGTGGGGTGGTGGATTCCCACATGGCTTATGTGGTTTGAGTCCCAGACCCGGTGGCTTGAAAATCACACTGGGCATATGTGTGTACATGCCCAAAATTCTGAGAGGAGAATGGAAGAGAAGAGATTCTAGCGTGGCCATCCCCCCAGGGGGTAATGTCTCATTTTCCCTCCCTCTGTCTTTCTCCTCTCCGGTGAGCACATGTGCCTTATGGCAAAAACTTAAAAAAAAAAAAGCTAAATCCACAGATTGTGTTGTTATTTTTCATCTTTGTATCCTAATGCCTAGAATCTGTGCTAAAATATTTGTCCAATCAATGAAAAGTAACAATATTACGGTGAAAACAAAGCATATGGGGACTTCTAAGAAGAACCAAGTCGTATTAATCATTA